GCATATCTTAAGCAAATAAAGGATAAAATGGGTATTCATGCTGTTTGTGAGAAGACATACCACCAAATATGCCAGATGCAGCACCTATGTATTATGTGTGAATAGACTGTTGATACAGGCACTGGAAACCAGTGTCCTTATGCACTAGATGGAGTATGGAAAGCCTGCAATGAGAAGTGGTGTACTTTTATATAACAAACTTACAGTGGAGGCTTGTGCAATAGAAACTATGCTGCAGGGCTATTGTCAAGATGCATGGCTATTCGATAGAGCATGACCACATGTTGCAACATGGAATGTAATGACGTGGTGAGTTTTATATCTCTTTTTGTAGAGAAAGACAGAAGAGGTTGACCTCACTCGTTCCCTCCCCATGGATAGAAAATTTATCATCTCTGTTATTTTTTATAATATTTTTTGTTTGTATATCAGTGGTGCTTATACACAGATGATGAAAGCTTTTGACTGCTCTAGGCATAGATTGTTTAGATACTTCAAAACAGTCAGAGAATATTTTTAGAAAGTTTAATGTCATTTTGATTACCCTGTATGACTGCAGTTAATTTTGGTTGTTAGTTTGTTTATACACCTGTACTCAATTGAGAGTTATCAGATAAAGTAATTATTATTCACCTCTTGTTACTTTCTTCCTATTGGCAACTCTTGGAAAATATTTGGTCATTATGTGATAATCAGTTATGCTGATATTTATCAAATAGTTACAAATATCTGCAAAATGCAGGTTTTAGAAGTTTCATACAGAACCTTAAAAGTTAACACAAACAGCAAAGGATAACAAATAACACATATGAACAAATAAAGTAATGTCTTCATTTAAAATAGCATCTGTGTGTGTGTGTGTCTGGCATCTATATTCATTAGAACTCAAGCTGGTTGTGGGTGTGGGGTAGCATGTATAAGAGGCTTTGGAAAACTTAGCCTCCCCAAATAAACTATTCCTCACTGCGTACAAATGCAGAATATAAATTCACGAATTACTTTTTTTAAGAGTACTTTTTGTACACTTACTGTTATTTTTTTACAATTTTCTTTTATATCATAACCAGCTTTAAACCAGCAAGTAGAAGTGTTATAGTAAGCCCTTTAGTGAGACTTATCTGTAATCGTTGTTCAATCTATATCTTTTTTCAGTTGAGAAGTTTCAAGATAGAGTAAGAGGAAGGAAGAAATGCTTTTAGCTGTTGCTGTGTTATGTTACCTGCTTAGTCAGAAATACACAACTCTGTTGTGGTGCTAGAGTTCCTTGTTAGAGAATATAATTGTATTAATTCAAACTTACAGTTTCTTTGCCTTCTTTGAATATGTAGAATATAACTAAGAAAGCAAATATTATGTAGTGCAATATGTATGTGTGTGTGTGTTTTATTACATGTGAGGAAATGGACAGAATAGTCTATCCAAACACCAAATGCACACACAGGATAAGGAACAAAGCAAAAATAATGAAATACCATACTTTCAAGTCAAACCAGGGTCCTAGTGTGGTATCCCACAATCTTTATACTCCCTACATCAAAAATCCTTCCAAATAAACATATCCATGAAACATAAAACCCTGGGTTAGTTATATTTATTACAATACTTAAAAATCATATTGTAAATAATTACATGTATCACTCCATGAACAGTCCCAGGTAATGTTATTTAGAGTGAAGCGAAACTTTAAAATATTTTATGCCTTTCTGTTTTTTTACAAACTAAATTTTTTTTAAGAACATACCACATGATTGACATTTGCCCTGTTTTTAAGAACCAGTTTACTACTGCTGCTAACTGACTGAATGCAAAACAGGAAGCTTAGATTGATTGGTTTCTCTTTCTTAATTTTTCTCCAGTAAAAAAAAAGAAGTTTTAAAAATCTTAAGTCTAAAATCACATTCTTCCAGAGGCCAATAGCAAAAAACTTTGTTTCTTTTTTCATTTTTTCTCATTCCCTTCTATTTTCAATGACTTTTGTTATTGTTTTTTCTTGAATATGATTTTGAAGGGTTTTATGTTTTAGTTCCAAATGCAAGTGTGAAAATGGTATGAAAACAGCTTTATCCTCATGGAAGCAGACCATAAACAATATGCTCTTTGGTTTTATGTTTTAGTTCTCAATGCAAGTGTGAAAACAATATGACAACAGCTTTATCCTCATGGAAGAAGACCATAAACAATCTGCTCATTATTACTAAGAAAAAGTTCTTGGTTTGAATTTTATACATTTAGTATCGAGTATTGTCCATAATGTTTTGCTGTTTCTTCTTTATTTTTTTCGACTTAGATAATAGAGATTTATCAGACCATCAGTAACTATTTTAATTAGTCTAATTACAAAGATTATGGAGTTAGTATTTATGTGTCCATAAAGTGTTGTGTAAAATCCGTGGATGGCTGCAGGAATGGGCAAGAAGGGTCATTTGCCTCCCTTACATTAAAAAAAAAAGTGCACGTACTATGATGTAAACTTAATATTTTTAGTAAATTTATTCTTTTGACTTACACTGTAAAAGCTGATTCCCTACATACATGTTTTGTCCCCCCACCTAGAAAATACTTCTGTGGGTGCCCATGTTAAAATCACCTTGCCAAGTAAAGCTGTTTCCTTGTAGTTACTGAAGAATGTATCCCAGTTTTATATTGCTTGTTAAGACTAAACACATAATTCTCAAAATACTTTTTTTCTTTTTTGAAAAACTATTTGTATCCTGTACTTGTATAGTAACAGTTCATTATGAGAATCCTGCGAAGAAAATGTATCTGAAACATCTGTTCTGGATACTTGTTTTCATGCTTACTCTGAGCTATAGATGTATTTTCTTAGCATATGGGAAGAGAGGAATTTTCAAACAGTCTAGAAAAATAGCAATAAGCTGGTAACAACTTCTTGATATGGTAATGCAAATTCCTCAAACAGTTACCACACTGATCTAGCAGTAAGTTTGAAAAAGTGATAGAGTTTGATTGCATGGCAACCTGATGAATAACAATAACTTAAGAATGGGAATGTAAAAAAGTATTGATTAGTAAAATTACTGAAGCTTTAACTCTATATTAAATCTGACTCTCTACATTACTTTTAAGTTTTGATTACATAGCAAGTCTGAGTGTTGACATTAGTTTTAAAATTTGAATACAGCAAGTCTGACTAGTAAAAATGCTATTAAACGTTATTCAGCAAGCTTAACTCATAATATTGCTTTTAAGTATTTTTAAACATTGACTGTACATCTAGTCTAACAAACTTTATTTTGTACTCTTAATGCAGTTGTAATATGAAGTACTTAGCAAATTTACAGTAAAATGTCTAAATTTCACTTATCATTACGTACAGTTGTTAAATAAGACTTAAAGAATTGTAGTGTAGAATTGATATACAGAATTTATAAGCTGAATATCATGAACACTGTAACTAAAGCAGTTTGATAAATATGGTTAAAACATTGAATTATTTTTCTTAGCTTGTTGGTTGCTTGATTCAGTTGGGAGCAATATAACATTTTGAATTCTAATAAACAGTGACATCTAACATCACAAATAAATATTTTGTTATGAATTAAAGGAAGGCAATAGCAAATATAGATATGTGTAGATATTTCTTCTGAATATCAAAACTGTTAACTCAAAAACTATTTTTATGATTTAAAAGAAATATAGTAAAGTCATTAAACTTGTGCCTTTAAAGGTAGTAAATGCAAGAAAAATAGTTGTGCTTGCAAGTACCTGTGTGTACATATACATTGGCAAATATTTCATATTATTAGGTGCATTATAAAACTTGAAAAACTGTTATCTGTTATCACATTATGAAAAATACAAACTTTGCCAAGTGATCTCATTCCATTTGAGAGAGCTTATTTTTCCTTAAACGTGATACCTTTAACAATTTAGATTATAACAAATGTTTCCATTGTAGAAGTATTAATCTAAAACATTTGGTAACATTTATTGTGAAAGATGAATTTTTGGCTTGGAGTTATTTTAATAATTTTATTTAAACATTTATTTTATGAGTTAATACCAACAATTTTTGAATTGAGTCAAGCTAGTGAAGAAGTAATTTGAATTAAGTCAATTAAATATTTGAAAATGTAAACGTCTCCAAACAACCAGAGCAGGTGGACACTAAAAGTATGCTTTTTTAACAGCTTCAATATTTTAAGTTATAAGTAAATATTTTATTTCTATTTTTTTATAATATAACTTAGTTTCATAAGTTAAAATTAAGAGTGATACCATAAATATCCATTCATTGGGAGACAAGTTCTGAAACAAAAATCTAAATATTAACCAACAGGTTTAAGACATTTTCAGTGGAAAAATATTGTAGCATTAATGAAATACTGACCAGGTTTTAAAAAGGTTTGTACTCCTTGAAACTTTAGGTTAAAATTATCCTGTGGAGATTGTAGTAAATCAAGTTTCTAAGTTATGTTCTGGGTGGTAGTAATGGTACTGTATTATACCTCAGGAAGTTCCATAAAGTACCTCTCCTAGTTCTAAGATAAAACGTCTCGTGAGTAATGATTTTATTATTAAAAAAAGGCTTCTTTGGGTAATACAAATATAATAGACAGAAATATTTATAATTTCTTTTATTTACTGCAATACTCTTCTAATAAATAATTCTACATCTACCAAGTGGTGAGAAAATACAGCTGTTAAATGTAAAGGTCTCAGTGAGTTATTTCTTCCTTGCAGAACACAGCTACCAAGTTATGAGAAAAGACAGCTGTTAAATGTAAAGGTCTCAGTGAGTTATTTCTTCCTTGCAGAACACAGCTACCAAGCTATGAGAAAATACAGCTGTTAAATGTAAAGGTCTCAGTGAGTTATTTCTTCCTTGCAGAACACAGCTACCAAGTTATGAGAAAAGACAGCTGTTAAATGTAAAGGTCTCAGTGAGTTATTTCTTCCTTGCAGAACACAGCTACCAAGTTATGAGAAAAGACAGCTGTTAAATGTAAAGGTCTCAGTGAGTTATTTCTTCCTTGCAGAACACATCTACCAAGTGATAGTAAAGCCCAATACTCTGAAATGCAGTAAAAACATCACTGGGCAACATTGGTTGTGCCTAACCACTACCTCCCTCAACTTGGTCAGAATGAATTCACACAGTGATCAGAATGAAACTGTAGAATTTCCTGTAAGTAAAACATAAATATATCTTATACTAGTTGGTTCATTAAGTATTGCCCAAGTGTGTCACATATAAGTAATGTGCAAGAGTGTGGTATATGATGGGATTTCAACAGTTTATTTTTTTCTGATAAATGTATTGTGCATACTTAATTTAGAAATATGAATTTAATTATTTATTATACAACAATTAAGCTGCAAGACAACTCTCTCATTATAAGTTCCAGAAGTAAAAAATTTGCTAAAGATTTCTTTCTTCCAGGTATTAACACAGGTAATTTGTTCAAAATGGTTATAACTTAAATCATGCTTGATTTCAATCTCACCAAACTATGTTACTTAAAGCTTATATGGGGATAAAAAAATATTTGGTAAGAGTATAGCTGAACAATATATAAATGTTACCTCCCCAAATTTTGAAGTACTTTGAACAGTGGTAGAATATTGTCATAATTGAAACTGTTACCACCTCCAAATACTTTGACCTTAGATCCCTCTCTCTTAATGTTTACTCTCTGTATAAGAGCTTTTGTTTTACTGTTTCTGGAGCTAAAGTCTTGGAAAATCTTACTTATTCTTGTTGTCTGTGGTTTTCTTCACTTATTGAGTTTGATGTGTTTGATGGATCCTCATCTGGTTTGCACATAACCAATATTTTGTCTTCTACTATATTACCATCCAATTATTAATAGCTTCTGACACTGCATACCACATTGTTGCATGAAGGTCTTTCCTGTATTGAAGCAAGTTATGAGGTGTACACTCTTTATGTTTCAATTGTTCTAAACCTTACTGTCATCATGAAACTTGGACTTGTCAGCACTGACATTATATTTTTTTTTTTCCTTTGTCACTTACTGACTTCAGCTTGTAATGGAGAAATTGGTAAATAGGGTCTGTGGTGTCTTTTCAAAAAATTGTGTAACTTATGTATGGGTTACAGTGTTTGTAAACATGAATTGTTTTTATATCATTTTCACCAAGTAAAACAAATTTTTATCAAATCAGATAAGTTTAGTTAAGTTTACTGTTTAGTGTATATGGCAGGTAACTGTAAAATATTCTGATTGCTCACACCTTTATTGAAAATTATTTTTTTATATATCCTATTCAAACAACATAAATGAATAAATTGGCTAACAGATTACATAGCTATTTATAATTGCAGTCATGGTATGTCTTAAATTAAAATATTATTACCTTTATCGGTGATAGTAAAACATATTTCCATTATTTAATTATCAATTTATTTGACTTACAGAAGATCATTATGAAATTACTATATATTTGAAAAACAAACATAATGGTGACCATAATGTGGCATTTAAACAACATTAGTAATTCATTTGCCAAGTACGAAATTTTCAGACTATCTCTGAAAAACAGTTGTGCCAAAATATGTTTTTACTAAAAATGTTTTTGTCAAATACCATAATAGAATAAGGCAGTGTTTGCAAAAGTTATGAAGGTAGTTCACTCTTTTTTTTTTCTGTAGTTGTTGTAGAAGGTGTGCTATGTACTAATTGATTAATGGGCCCATCAATTAATCAATTGGCAAATACCACTAATTGCCCAGCTATATTCCACATCATCTTGGCTTCCAATCTGTTGCTTCATTTTCGGCACCCCCCAATAATCTTGCTTATTAAGTATGAAAATTTTGATATTCCTTTCACTTTGATATTGACACTCTTCAGGGATGAGGTTCAGTCTTTATTGTCAATATTTCAATTATTCCTTAATTTCTTAAATTTAAAACCCCTTAGTTTTATAAGTGCTGTCACCATATACTAAAAAATTTAATTCATCATGACATCATATATAGGTTTTAATCTTACAGTGTAAGAAACACTTACTAAAAATGTTATTTTGAAACTTCATCTCTTAGGCAAGAAATGTTCATTTAGTTTTTTTTCTACAGATCACTGGTAAGATTTCTACATTCACACCTCATTTTTCAATATTAAAAACATCAGTAATAAATGTCCAAAAGAGCACTTTTCAGACATTGGAAAAGGTAAAAACAAAACATATTGTAAATTCATCCATTTAAGTTCACTTTCTTCCATAATTTGTTACATGTTAACCCAAATAACTTTCAAATTTACTATTCTAGAAGCATATAAACCTTTAGATATATATATCAATTAGAAAATCAGAAGTTTTACTTGTTTCCCACACATTTTAACTTATTTTTATATACACTTTTTGTTCATTGGTTACCTTTAAATTCCTAGAAGATGATTCTACATGTTACTATGCTGTATCTGTTAGATATACTTTATATAAATATTCATCCATAATGTATATCTCACGCTTTAAAATCACTCTTGACAAATAATCTCAAAATTCCATATTTGGCTATAGTCTCTATATAGAGTGAACAAAAATTAATATTCATAAATAAACATTACAGTCCTGTATTGTTAATTAAATGTATTAAACAAAGTACAATAAAAATCTGACTAACAAAACATAGTCTTTATTATCTTATTTACTGTATCTAAACTGTCCATTTAACTGATATTTTTAGTGGTTCTCTTTTCCGTGGCTTATGGTATGAAGATAAGATGACTTCTTGTCACTTGCTGTCTTGTAATTGGGGAAGTTGTCTCCAGGTTGATGGTTGATAGAATCCACTGGTTATTCTATTCTTGGCGATACTCTGGAAGTGATCTTGCCAGGAATCTTGGGCTCTTCTGCAGGTTGACTTATCACTGGAAAAGTATTCTCTAAATTTAGCTAACTAATCGACCGTTCTCTCACTGTCGTACTTTCAAAGACAATCACAGTGGATGACCTTGGCTTGCACAACTTCTAGATTTTGTACACCACATCATTGATTCTTTTCACTACAATGTATAGCTCTTCCCAATGCATACTTACTTTGGAGTCTGTCCTTTCTTGCAACAAGGATTATACAGCCATACCATATCACCAAAATTAAATTAAGTCTTGACAACATAGAGACTTTTTATCTTATCACTAGCTGATCTAAGTCTTTCTAAGGTATAGCCATGTACAGCATCAGTGGTGTTCCTTAGTTTCTCTCTGCATATTCTGTATAAGACTGCTGAGAAATTATCCTCAAGATATGAATACAGAAGGTTCAATAGCACCTTGAGTTATCTCCCAAACATCAGTAATGCTGGTATCTTACTTGTAGCATCATGTATTGCTGTTTGATAAACTTATGGGTAACAGTGAAAGATCTTGATCACATATTTTATCATGATCATCAACATAAATAGTTAATTATTATAAAAATGTATTGTTGTATCTCTCATTTTTCTATCAAAAGATAGATGAATGGCTGTTGTTCTGGTAATCTTTTTTGAATCCAAAGATTTGACACATCTCCACAAGTTAAGCTCATTGAAGGTTTTGTCTGATGAGAGTGAGGTATCCATAGACACCTCAAATCTTGTTATTTTCACTGTTGTACTTGTGACAACACTGCTTCCACTGCAAAATCGCTGGCAACTGTATCTAATGCAAGTGGATTTTCAAGAGTAGGATATGCTAACAGAGGAGTAGTGATTATTTATTTTTTTTATTTTAATGAATGTTTGTTCACAAACAGCAGTCCAATGAAACTTATTTAGCTTTTAAAGTAATTTATGTAGAGGTTGAGCTATGTGTGAGAATGATTTTACAAATCAACAATAGTAAGAATGCAATCCAAGAAATATTCTACCCTGTACAAGTTCTGTAGTGTTGGTCAATTCTAAACAGATTCAGTCTTAGATGGATTTGCATACACACTCTCCAGAGACAAAGTGCCCTAGGAAACTCATCTGTTAATGGAGTACATAATATAACCCCAAGCAAACTAAAATTATGAGATTTGCCTTTGTACGTGTCAAATGAAGTACAGTCTGCTAAAGATACCTGAGCCATTTTATCATTTAGCAACCATATGGTGTTTGTTGAACATTGTTTAATCTCATCTTTTCTGGTTGAGTCAAACAAGGTTCTGCATTTCATGCACAGATTTTTTAGTACATTGGTTACATTCACACGTGGAGATTTTGGTTCACGTGTGAAAAAAGTAAAAAATAATGAATTAATTTTAGTGTTCTAATGCTTTTACTTACTTTAGAGTAATTGCCAATATCATATCAAACACGTTTGAGGCAGATGTTACGTAATGTACATAGTATGCCTTACAAATTGGCTTTTCCCATGTAAACAGCTGAGCTCATGGATGTCATGTGGTTTCCTCTGTGCAGAGACCTCAATTACTATAATTGAAATGAGAGAATGATATCTGATTTATTACATGTTCATTGATGACTTCTGATTGCAAGCTCTGTAAGTACGTTGACTAGGCTAATCAATTGTGACCAAATGTGGCTTTAAACAGATTATCAAGCTCCTTTTAGTAAAGTAAAGTAATTGGTTATGAACTGTTACCTATTGCATCTTTGGAGGTGAATGGTAATGCATACTTGGACTTATAAGTATTGCTTAATGATTACACACAATTTTAAATACTTCAGTGCTTCACCCTCAGAATCTGACACACGAGGGTATTTCACACCTAGTTCTTAAATCCTCTTGAGAACCTTGTCAAATATCTTTATGCTTTGCATTATGAATTTTACTAAACTTCTTGGTATTATGGTTTGATTACTTACATGTTGGTCCATATTTTGGCTTACAATATACCATAAATCATTATAAACTGAACTTTTTTATTAATTCAAATTCATGTCTATTTGCTGTTCTACATTGTAGAGCATTGTCTCGTGTTGATTTTAAATTTCTGATCTTGTAGCTGATGAGTATAAGAAGATGTGGGCACACAGATTCTTTTTTCTTCATGGAGGTTGGTCGATCTGCAATAACAGGAGCAGGAGAGTTGTGGATGCAGGCAGAAGACAAGGTTGTAGCACAGAATATGCATGAAACTATTTTAGGGTAAGTGCACATCTGCAATATTTCAATTGTTTTAGGTATTTGGACTCTTAAAAAATTCTAAGATATGGTTATTATTTTACTATCAATTTGCCTTCTGATAAAAGTATTGTGGTTGATGAAATACAAATTAAATGTGGCATAATCATGAAATGGTATTTTATGACATCAAATCTAAAAGGAAAACTGTTCTTGTCTTATGAATTATTAAAAAAATCAATGTTGTGATTTCATTAGTTTTTCAATAACAGTTTCAAGAAGGAAATGCAAGCATTTTTTTTATGCATTTCTTAAATCAAATTGTATAGCAGTTAGAAAACAGAATCGCTAAATTATGCTGAAAATGTAAATTTTGACAGTTTTGAAAGTTATTTATATATTTCCATTTAATTCTTTATAATAACCAAATAGCTTGTTTGCATGTTAGATGTCATAGTTGACTCAAGTACTGATAAAAGCTTCAAGAATAAACAAAATTATTTTGATCTATTAGTGAAATCATAAGCGAATGACTAAATTATTGTTAATTGTGAAATTTCAACACAGTAGGTGCAGCTTATTTGTAATGAAATGATATTTAAAATTTTATTATTATATAATGTATACAAAAAATTGTCAAAGTGCCATATACATAACAAAACTGTATTCTTAAAGAAATATTATTAACATTAGAATCACAGAAAAGTAACTGCTTGGTCATTAAGGTTACCATTAAATAAAAAAATGGGCTGTTTAGCGATAAGCCCAAACACTGTAATAAAAACGAGCTTTAATAGATCATTACTCTTTCTGTACTATTGACAAGCAAATCATTACACAAAGTAATAGCTCATAGAAGTATGTGTAAATATGTAAAGATGATGTATTATAATCATCACAATTTGGGATATATGCACTTTTTTGTAGGTATAATTTGAGAATATAACAATGATTTATCAGAATCATTTATTAAATATGCACTGGTTAAAGTTACAAATAACAAGTTATTTTTCAGATAAGATCTTGAAAATTATTTCTAAATAAACTAGTATTTAACCTGAAAACTTCTGTATGATATAGTTTTGAATTTTTTAGTTGGTTTAAGAAGTACAAAATTTGTACTAGTTGTAGTATCAACTCATTGATCATATTTTTACCTCTAGGATTTATTAACTTATGTGCTTATGTCTTTTTAAGGACTGAAAACTTATTATGAAAAATGGTTTTTAAAATGTTTTAAACCTGTTTCTTGTGTCTTATTTTTTCTGATTTTCAAAGGATGACATTGAACGGTAACAATGTAAATAACCTGTATTTAGTAAGTTATTGGAATTTTTTACAAAGCTGCCACATCCATTAGATAAGGATAATATATATGATCAGATTTTGGTTACTGTTGTGGATTTTAAATAAGCATAAAGGTTACTTGATAACTGTTTTCTATATCATCATGAAAATATATAATTTTATCAGTATTAGATAACTTATAATATTATTATAATGTCCATAAGTTGATTACAGTTTTCTTCTTTTTAAAACAAAATGTACACAGTATTTTGGATGATTAGGCATCAAATATGAAGTTTATATGTGAGGAACTTTAACATTTCATGTTTACTCTTATCATAAATTCCGAAACGGTACATCACCTCCTCTCGTTCAGTGCTGCCTTCTATATGCAAAAAAAAAATATGCATACCACAAGCCTTCTGTTTCCCCTCTATTGGAATTGACTGATTCCAATGCATCTCTCATGGTGCAGTTACCCACGTCAGATCTTGGTGTCTCATCTTAGGGAGTGTCCTTCAGACTGCTTCTTTCTTTCCCTCATACAGGTCACTCCACCTATTCAGTGTAGGATTCTAACTATTTATGCGAGCGGAGGTAATGTATTGTATCAGAAGTTATAATTTTCCTACACTGAAGATGTATTTCTGATAGGTACTTACCTCCTCTTCCACTTCCCACCCTTCCTCCCCACTGAGAACTGGTGCTTCCATCATCTGCCAAAACTCAAAGTGATAGTTTGGTAGAATTGAATAAAGGGAATCACGTGCATCATGAGAGTATGTGACACTCTTATTGGTGCAGGGTTGATGCATAAAAGACACATTGCAATCAGTCAGTTCCAATGGATGGGAGATAGAAGGCTTGTGGCATGTGTAAAAAAAGATTTTGCATATAGAGGGCAGCACTGAACAAAAATAGCTGTGAGAGGAGGTAAGTACCTATCAGAAATATTTCAGTGTTGGAAAATTATAACCTCAGGTTTATTGAGGCTTTGTTTCCATTTAACTAGTTCTATTCCTTTCACCTTGTTGAAAAAGCTAACCATTATTTTTGTAATCATGCTTACAAATTTCTACTAAGGTTTTTAAGCTTTTTTTTTCATGAGATGACACATGAAGGTGTTCTTATAAAAAAAAATACTTGTTGATGAAATATTAACTGAAATTTATTTTACTTTCACAAACCCTTCACTCTTAGAATTAAAATGTTTGATTAATAGTTTTGTTTTGAGTTTACCTACTGATTAAATATATTATGTTACAAGTTACAGCTTTTACATTAAGTAATATTTGTTTTTAGAACAGGTACAACCTTTCAATCACTGGTGTGAGAATGATCTCACCAGTGACTGAAATATTGTATCTGTTCTAAAAAGAAATATTACTTATTGTAAAAGCTGTAACTCGTAATATAATATAAGATGTTTGATACTTTATACTTCATAGGTTGCAATGCCTTAAGTTTAAAGTAAAAATAAAGAAGATATTATGACCCTTTATCATTATGTGTCTTTTTAACTTGTGTGTTAAGACTTTAAGTTTGTTTAAAACTGATTTAGTTTTAAGGACAGTTCTTAACTGAAGTATACATTTACTCTTTGTGTGTTTGTGTTATCAGGAGACCTAGATTGGACCAGTGTCCATATAAATTGAGTGTTATTGAAACCTAAAAAGTCTGCTCATGATGCTTTGATCCTTTCACTTTAATCTAAAAACACAGGGAATTTGTTTAAATTTGATACAAACCCTGAAATGTTAGTTATTATTTTTATGATTATAAGAAATGTTTAAAATAGTTTATTGTATTAGTGGTAATCTGTCAGAAGTACATGTATTATAACCATAATTTGTGCATAGAATTGGAATGTTTTTTAGAGTGGAAATCCTGTTTAAATCTTTTCCTCATGTCAAATATTGAATAAAGGGTATAGTTGAAGCTTGTGTCATTGAGAATGTTACTAAAGCAAATCAAATAGTGGATATTATGAAACAAAAATTAAGTACACTCACAATTTTAATTTTAATTTTATTGTATGTGTATGGGGGGTTTGTTTTCTGATATATTCAAACTTTTAAGAGTTGAATGTATTTTATTTTAGAATTTCATATTATTATTAGTATGTTCTTTTACGTTTCTATGGTATTTTATGTTAAACATTAAGCCAGTTATTGAAATTGTTATGGAACAAGTATCAGTTGGACCTGTATTTTTGGTTAAAGTAATCAAATAGAAATAATTGTCCATTTAAGAATATGTTAAGGCATATGCTCATTTTTTAGCTCTCTGCACAATAATTGTACATCAGCACATTTAGTAACTGTCAAGAACTAACTGTAGGTTAGAAAATTTGTATTTACAGCTAATACCAAGAGCATAACATCTGTGCTACAGGTGTGCAGAGTTAAGAATTGGATTAAGGTAGCACTGACCCTTAAAACTGGGCAAATTTACATGCTGAAAAAACACTGTTAAATGTGGTTAATGCACACAACCTGAACAGCTATTTTCTCAAAATGCAGTTTTCACTGGGGTCACCAGTTTACTAGCATGATAACTTCACAATTAAAGCCATTATCATCATGAAATTTGGCACACTTGTTGATATTACACTCTTCCATAGCTTGAATTTTTTTAATTCAAAAAATCTTTACCAATTGTCTTGTTATGAGTCTGATTACCACAAGAAAGGCATTAATTAAAATTAATTGGCCATAGCTCGTTAACATTGCAGAAAATTTGCAAAGTTTTTAATTCAAGCTATAAGGATGTTCACAAAAAAGCATGTGTATCAATTTTCATGTTTTTATCATTCCTTAGTAAACTTATAGTGTTAAAACAGTTTATGTTATGTATTTCTTTATCCCTGCCACATTAATTATGCATATGACTTATATGACTGAAAGTGTACTTTTAGAAATTGCAACATCATACTTTTGTTTTGTGCTCGACTTGAAAGTTATGAGAAGTGTTTAACAGCATTTCCTCAACATGTAAGTTTGCCCATTTTTAAGGGTCAGTGCTACCTTAAATGTAACTTAAAACCTGTCTGTTGCTTATATAAATATGCTGGAATAAGATTATATATATATAAAGAATCGGTGTACTTTTCTCTTTGATATACTGTTTGTGTTAGTCTTTTGATGATGTATATGTTACATGATCAGAGCTATGAAGCTTTCGAAAACAAAGGATGAGTTAGGCCCTATAGCTCGACCTAGAAGTGCTTCAACCAGTGAGAACAGTAAGCCAATTTCATCTCGTCGACACGGAGGTGCACTTCCTTACCAAACTCAAAGTATGAGTTTAGAACGGACACCAGTGATCTCAACTATCAGGGAACGCTGTGATAGCATGCCAGCTAGAGCACGCACAACTAGTGAAAACTACCATGATTTCTTTAGTAGCAGGTTAGTTTAAACATACTGAATGAAAGAATTTTAGTATTTTCACATAAATCTTTAGTCTGAAACTTAAATTAGTTTTACATATTTAATTGGTTGTCAAAGGCCAGTGTTAAACTAAATGAATTATTTTGTAGCTTTTTTTTTAATCTCCTAGGTATACTAATATACTGTATGGAACAGGTAGTAATATTGCTACCAGCACATTTCTGTCTATCAGATTTGAAATTTTATAAACTTTCTTTGCAGAGCATCTTGTAGTTACATATATTATAAATATTTGGTTAGGTTTTCATTTAAACAACCAACAAACTTCAGAAAATATCCAAGGTAAGATGTTAGTGAAAACAGTGGAACATTTGCACATGGTGATTATGCATTGGAATATGACATGTGTCTTCCACTTAGCGTATTACTGCTTAATGCTCTTATTTCAACTCTAAAATACAGTAATTGCCAGGCTCCAGTACCGTTAAAAGTATTTTATTAATGTTTTGGCACACCCTTGTTCATTATTCATTCTTCTTGATATCCTAAAGATTTCCCTTGTAGAGTACCAATGTCCTACATATTTTTAGCTTGTATTGGATCCATTACTAGGTGGCTACAAACTCACATTTTCCAGCATTAAGAACCATGAGATAAATGAATCAAATAAAGTTATAAGTAGAAAACAGTTTCAAGTTCTTGAAAAAGTGGATACTGTTTTGTTCGTTTTTATATCCCAAACATGATTCACTTACAATTACTAACCTATAAGTTTATATTATGGTAGTTTTTTTAAAAAATATAGGCTGTCCAAAAATAACATGATTATTATGCACTTAAGCCACAACAAGATAGTAACAGTTACAAATTTATGTTTTGTGGTGGATAAAGAGCACCATAAGTTCATAATTGTTACTGTCTTGTTGTAATTTAACTTTTAACTTAACATACATATCTTTGATTTGTAAATATGAAAAAAGAAGTTACAAATAAAAAAAAATTATGTTAAGTGACAATTTGGATGTTGTGTTGTTACCTGAATTAAAGGTAGTTTTTTCTATAATTTTCTGAATGCTTTCAGCATGGCATATAAAGACTTCCTAAAGATTATTTTGGTTTATTTTAATGATACAGCCCTCAGTCTGGGGGATGGCATTCTTCCCCAAGTTGTGCCAACCATCGAGGAGAAAATCTTCGCCTACAGAGTGCTTATGCTCGGGCCAAGTCTTCTTCTCCTCCAGACAGTGCTAATATAAGGTAGGTACCATGTTGTTGATAAATTGTTTTTGAAGTATGAACGTCTGTCTTATCTGAAAGTATATAAAGGAATTTGCAAAATATGCAATATACTAAATGTATTATTAGAAAGCTAATTTATAAAAATTGTCATATGATCTTGTTGTTATAAAGCACAAAGAAAGTTTAGCCAAGCTTAAAATAAAAGAATGTAAGTTGTATCTCATTATTTATATCTATTAGACTATTGGTTTAATAAAGGTGTTAAAAAACTCTTGAAAATGTGAAACAAATGAAACAGCAGTACACAAAAAATTAAAAAGAAAGAAACAAAAATGATTTCACAATTGCAAATTTAATGTGAATCAGTAAATATTTGGAGAATGGTACTGAGTGTTATACTTGTTAATTTTAAGAAAAGAAAGAATGAAATGAAATCATTGAGTAAATAGAAGAGATTGCAGATTTTCTCAGAACTGACATATACAGTGGTAATTTGTTGGTTCATTCTCCAGACTTACTTGAGAGGGTGCATTCTAAGAAATGGCTATTTTCAATGTAGAGGAAGAGATTTTTCTGCAGATCAAAGGGGTATACCCATGGGAAATATATTAGCTGTACCCATTGTGGTCATTTTCACATATATTTTCACAACAGTTACATATCGATTAGAGAAACAAGACAGAAAATTGACAGATAATATCACTTCATTGGAAACCTTTTTGGGGTATGGAAACACAGCCTTGACAGCTTTCTAATATTCTATGACTTATTTAAACACTCGACAAGAGCTATTATATTTACTTTACAACACTCTAGTAGATAAAACCTTTGTAAGTTTAAATAAAAAAGAAAACAACTTGACTAAACTCTAAACAAAAACGTTACAAAAACACAACCAAGTAAGATTCTTTGATTATATCAAACATTGCCCGGCATGGCCAGATGGTTAAGGCACTCGACTCGCAATCTAAGGGTCGCGGGTTCGAATCGCTGTCACACCAAACATGATCGCCCTTTCTGCCGTGGGGACATTATAATGTGACGGTCAATCCCACTATTCGTTGGTAAAAGAGTAGCCCAAGAGTTGGCGGTGGGTGGTGATGACTAGTTGCCTTCCCTCTAGTCTTACACTGCTAAATTAGGGACGGCTAGCGCAGATAGTCCTCGTGTATCTTTGAGCGAAATTCAAAAACAAACAAACAAACAATATCAAACATAAATGCATCACAACAAGTAAAGTTCATGGAACAATAAACATATCAAAATTGCAGGAAGAACTATCCATGACAGATACCAAGAACACAAGTGAAATATAAAGAAAGCAAACACATTCTCCCCCATCCTAAGCCACCCTTCCCTCTATTAGAATTCAGAACTACAAACCTCAAATTAGTCAAACATTGAATGGTCTCTTACAAAAACAATAGATGGTGTTTTATTATTTATTTATCTATGTTTTTCAAATTACTGAACTTTAGTATAACTTTATAATCTCTTGGGTTTCTTAACATTTCTTTCTTTCAGCACCAAATATTTTGCAACATAATTTTGATCACAAAAATAAATGTTGTCCTAAAAATATTCCTTTCCAGTCTTGATCTTCACACTCAAGCAACTTGTTCTTTTTTTGTTTATATAAGTTATATTATTTAGTAGATCACTTTTTAGGGGTAGAGAAGCCTAACCAAAAGTTTTGGACATTAGAAAATATTACATTTGTTTCATTGAATAAGTGATCATTTGTTTTCAGTTTAACGGGAGCTTATTCAACAGATAGTGTTGGTAGTGAGTTCTCCACAGATGAATATGAAGGAAGCCCCAGTGATTTCCACTTTGGGTAAGTTTTGTTCTATCTACATTCATATTCATCCGCACCAATAATGTGGAGTAACTTAAGTGCTCAATGAATGAAATGTGAAACATTCACAGGTTTTATTTTAATGCTTAATCTCTTAATGTTTAATGCAGCTAAAAATTCTGACTGTGAAATACTTTATTAATAAAGGCCATATTTACTTTGTCATTAAGGTTTTCCTATGACTGGGTTATTTTTAAGCTCTGTGTAAGACCAATTTTTCTTCTTTCTTTTTTTTCTTGTAGTGTTTCATTTAATTATAAATACAAAACATATTTGTACTTGTGGTGGGCACAGCACAAAAAGCTTATTGTATCCTTTGGGTTTGACAACAAGGCAAACAAAACCTGGAGCTAATAACTCCCAAAATACAGCTTTCCATGATGTAAAAATTCCAACTTTATTTATATCTGTATTATCACTTATGTAATGAGACCACCATATGTGAAAAGATGTATATAATAGTTTTTTAATAGTTTTGTTTTGAGTTTACTTACTGATTAAGTATTATTTTATTACAAGTTACAGCTTTTACGGTAAGGAAGATTATTTTGTAGAACGGATATGATGTTTCAATCACTAGTTTGATCATTCTCAACATACATGCATATATACAAAACAAGTTTTTAAGGTGCAGAACTTCCTAAGTTAACTGTAGTTTCACTTCAATAATGCTTTAGTTTTATAGTTTGTTCAGTCATTTGACTTTTGCATTATATCATAGAATGCATTTTTTACTCACATTTTCAGTCTTAATGGTACTGTAGCCTGGTTTAAATTACCTCTGGTCTTAAAGTCTTCATGAATAAAGTTTCTTTCTTGTGTACTCGAGAATGATTGCACCAGTGATCAAAAGTCATACCTATTTTAAAATATGCTCTTCCTCACTTTAAGAGCTATAACTTGTAATAAAATAATAACAGTGTTTTGTTTCCACTGTAAGATAATACAATAAAATATTTAAAGAGCCACCTGCTGGCACTGCTATTATTAGCAGTAAACAGTAGAACATGTAATAATGAAAGCAAGTAATTTCATTTAAAAAGACAAAGAGCAGAGAATTAGTAAAAAATAATGTGTTATGGTTCCCCTCTTTTGTACTTGTAGCGTACAAAGAAATGTTTTGCCATCTACTTCTAAAATTTTTACTGATGATATATGTTGCAGTAGTGTTTGCTCGTGTCCTTTTTTTTTTTTTCGTATAACATAAGATATTTTGTTATTATTGTTACATAAATTGAAGTAAAAATATTTATTTTTCAGTGTTCTGTGGTTATACGTTTGTACTTATCATAATGATTTTTTTTATGTATGAAGGAGGTACATTCATTCTGCTGGGGAGTTAGGCTTGCACACAGAACCTCCAATTACAGAAGAGATGCCAGATGATTATTTGTTGATGGAGCCAGGCCAAGGTTAGTATCTATATTTGTAAACTTTATCGACTACTGGTGATCTTGGAAGCATTTGCCTTCTGTAATAATGGCTTATTATTGTGAATCTCCTTAATTAGGGAAGATAATATATTATCATTCTACCATGTGTATTATTTTAAAAAAACAATTCAATTGGGAACAAGGATCTCAAAATCATGAACATTTATGTGGAGATTCCTTTTATATTATTTTAACAAATGTTTAAGACAGGATTTGAAAATGTTTTATATAAAAGTAAATACACAAATTAATATATTATCATGATATGAAGAAAGTATATTTGTTTCAGAATGACTGAAGGTCATTAGTTGTACCATTAGTAAAAATTGATATGTAAATTATTATTTAAAAAAATGCAAATTTTATGTGTTGTGAAGTTTAAACTTAATTCTAAAGGTTATATGTATTATTTTATTACAAGTTACAGCTTTTACAGTAAGGAAGATTATTTTATAGACCAGATATGAATTAAAACTGAAGTAATGGTAATCACGAGTTGATACATCAAAGTTATGTTCCATAATTGCACACACTGCTTTTTACAGACTTAAGTAATGCTTAATACACTTAAAATAGTGTATCTTAAACTGGGGTGTTCATAATCACGATACTTTGTCATAGCCTAAAAATAATGTTTCTTCAACTTATGGTACTGTTTCATAGTCTCACATTGGCTTGTGATAGTGTTTAATAAAATAAAGATGGTGTTACCTTAGTTCATGATATTCTTTCTTAGACCAGAATAATGTTTTTAGCTTGCTATAATATTTCATAGACTCAGAATGGTATTTCCTTAGCTTGTGGTAATGTTATATAAACTAAAGATGGTGTTTCCTTGGCTTGTGATAGTGTATCATAGGCTTAAGATAGTATTTTATTGGTTTGTGATGTGTTTAATAGACTAAAGATGGTGTTTCCTTGGCTTATGTTAATGTTTAGTAGACTAAAGATATTGTTTTCTTGGCTTGTGATAGTGTTTGATATAGAATAAAGATGGTGTTTTCTTAGATCATGGTATTCTCTCATAGACCAAAATAATGTTTTTAGCTTACTATAATGTTTCATAGACTAAACATAGCGTTTTCTTAGCTCAGTATAGTATTTCATAAAGTCTGAAAACAAAGTTGGTTTAAGAGTTGTTAATAAAACACATCACCAAGTTCTTTTAATTTTCTGTGAAAAAAAATGTATGTGAGTGTGTGTATATATATAACAATAGCATATAGTTTAATATATAATATATAGTTTGTTCAAATTAAATTAATTCAGTCAAGTGGTCTTTATGATTATATAATTTATTAAAACTTACTCATTATTATCAGTATCCATTTTCTGCTTTACACATTTTAAAACTTAACAAACATAATATTAAGCCTTTTTTTTTAAGATAGCAGAGAAATAAACATGTGTTCCAGCCTTTTACTTCCCCATTAATATCACTAGAAATAATAAATATTCTAAATTTGGAGTGACCTTGCTCATGTAATATGCTTAAAACTTCACAATACCTCTTTTTTTTCTTTTCTTGATGTCGTAGAGGATTTGATGCCACCAGAGTACTTGGAAATGGGAACTTCAACATCTCAACGGTCATCATTAGCCAATATGTCTCTCAACCTGTCCTTCTCCTCCAGTGTTCATAGCATTGGTTCAAATCCTATATCTCCGCTAGCTTCAGGAACATACCTAGATATGACTTCCCCTTCCACAGCTTCAATACCAGCTTCTTCGGGTATGAATTTAAATAATCTTTTTAAGTATATTATTTTTGCAAAATGAATAACTTCTTTATGTATGAACAGTTTATATGCTCATACATATATGCATAGATATATAGTGTGTATCTCTGTAGATTGTTCTACTTTTGTGTAGTAATTAAGGTATTTGATTTAGATTTGGCTAGCTGTTACAAAGTGTGCCAATTCTGATATGGTACCTCTTTCTTCTCACAAGATTAGCTATTCTAGTCCAGTGCTGCCCTCTATATGAAATTTTTTTCTTTATGCATGGCACAAGCCTTCTGCTCCCTCCGATTGGAATTTAATTATTCCAACATGTCTCTCAAATAGATCATCATGTATCACTTTTCTACCAATATGAGCATGACATACTCATGTGATGCATGTGACTCCCTCTATACGCCTCTACCAAACTGTCGCTTCTTGTTTGGCAGTGCTTTTGCACGGATGTGTTCCTTTTTGTTTGTGTAACGTTTCACATTCGTTTTTAGTATACTCATGAGGTGGTCTTCATTTATTTTCCCTTCTAGTTTTCCTTAAGACTATTTCTTAACTTCAACTTTAATCCTAGTTTATTACAGTAACATTGTTATTTATTCTTTCAGTTATTGGTTCACTCTTCCCCATTATCAATTCCAAAATTCATATTACCACTTCTGGGGTTACACGTATAACTAGCACTATGTCTAAGGCCTCAGGTGCAGGCGACCCGACGGGGGATTTATCTGCATTTATTCACCAGGAGATTGAACATTATATGGGTCAACCTTTGTCTCCACACCTTGCCCAACTTCCTCCAGAACAAGCTGAGCTTGTTTAGGTGGACTATAACTTGGGTCACCCATTTACACCTCCTGGTTTTGCCATGCCCTACCTGACAAATCAGTTAAGCCTAATACTGTCTTTTTGGATTTAGTTTCTCAGGTATGTGATGTTTTATCCCTTTTTCTATTACCCGCATCCTTCCCTATTACCTGACCAATCTTCCCATCCCTATAGAGTTTTCTCCCCTCCCCTGATATTTTTGTTAATGCTGACTAATTACCTCACAATTCCGTGGCTGAATTACTATGCCTCACCCCCATGGGCTTTCGGAAAAGTTTGTTTTTGCATATCATCATGCAAGCTATCCTTTTTCTGGACCAGCAATTGTTAGGTCCATTTTGCCTGTTTGTGGTGTGGCCCCCGAATCTCCTGTATGTCTTACCCATGCCCAATTTACCACCTTTGTCTTATCTTTATGGTATCCCTCTACATACCATCTCCTCTATGAAACTCTCCATCAAAATCCTGAGGGGTTTTCTGGGGACTTCCTCTTCCCTCTTCTTCCACGTTGGCTCGTTTGTCATCTTCAGGCTCTGGTTTTACATACGTGGTCTCTCTGTTGTCGGAACCTTCTAGATCTTGCTGTGACCTTAACTTGTGTCTGTTTACCATCATTTTATATTAGGGATATAGTTATGGGCCCCATTTTTGAAGTAATACATCTTTAACACAATCTTTAAGTCTTTGAAATCATGGGTTGCATCAGTACAACAACAGTCTACCCTTTCCAACCTTTTTGCCTGTTTGTCTACGTTGGAGCCTACAAGGGCACCTGTTACCATTTCCCATCCCTCCCCTTCCCAACTTTTACCTGTCCCTTCTTCTCAGGTGCCTAGTGTCGGCATTTTCTGCGATGTCTCACATCACCAACAGTATCTGTGACTAACCAGTGAGTTCTGGTCCGATTTTCTTTTTCACTGGCATCCTTTCATCATGAATCTTTGAGTTCTTCAAGTTTTCTCAGAAGGATTCCTGATCCCATCATTTTTCCACCTCCCAGTCTCCTATGCCCATTCTTCCCTTAGCCTCAGGATCCCATGACCAGCCAGTGCCTGTCGGAGGCAATTCTGGAACTACTATCTCTGCAGGCCATCATACCTGTTCTACATACTTCACCATATTTTTATTCCAGGCTCTCTGTTGTTCCCAAGTACACTGGGGACTGGAGGCCTGTCATCAAATTCTCCCCCCTCAAATGCTTCATTCAACTGCCCCATTTTACCATGGAGTAATTTTTCACCCTATGATGGGCATGTCTCCAACCTTATGGATGACCAGGATTGATGTCACCAATGCTTATCTCCACATCTCTGTATCACCATGGTCTTGTCTGTATCTTCTGTTTATCCATCATGGGGTGGTTTATCCCTTTTGCGCCCTACCTTTTAAGTGTGCTTCCAACCCTTATGTTTTCTGTCGGGTGATTAGAGCTTTGCCCACCATCTTCAAGCTCTGAGGTCATGATTTCACCATTATATGGATGACTGGCATCTTCTGGCTCCTTCCAAATAAGAGTCAGCCAGCTATACTCATTAGCTCCTTCTAGTGACTGCTCAGATGGACTAGTTCATCAATTTGGAGAAGTTCTTCCTCTGACCTTCCCAATATCTTTCGGCACTCATCTCAGTCGGGCTCACCCTTCTCCTGTATGACTTAGTTCCAAGGAACTGTTAGTTCACCATATCCTTTCAGCTCTCTCACTTCTGCTCACAAGGTTCTATTGTTTTTGAAGATGTGATCATCAATGATGTCACAGGTCCCCCTTGGTTGTGTGCATATGTGATCCCTTCATTGGGCTCTTTATGGTCAATGGAATCTTGCTCGGGATCCCCTGTCAGCTTCCATTACCCTTACCTGGTGTTACTTCTTTCCAAAAATGCCATGGTGGTAGCACATATCAATCCCCAAAATCTCTGTTTTCAAACATTGGATCTACTATATTGGGCACACAAACACCACATTCATCACATTGCGCATCACATTCCGGGTGCTTTCCATCTCGTGGTGAATAGTTTTTCCCACCTCGACATTATATATCCAATGGAGTGGTCTTTCAATTCTCTCGTGATCTCTCTCCTCCATACCACTCTGTATTGAGTCCTTCTGATCACTCCATCATAGTTCCACAATTCCAGCAACTAACTTTTCCCTCCAGTACCTCTTGCTTTGTCTCTCTCCCTTCTTCAGTCACCTGCTTTATATCCAGCCTTTCCTGTCCTTTGTCTTCACACTGGGTTTTATCCAGTCCTTGGCAAGGATATCAAGTTTTCTCCCATTGGGTAGCTTTCCTTTTAGCTCATTCCATATATCCTTCTTCAGTGGAGGTGTATCAGCACCTATGGAAAGTGTTCTGCAGTTGGTATGTGACTCTGAGATTCCCCGCAGACCGACCTACTGTAGCTTGTGTGGCAGTTTCTCACATAGCTTTTCCACTGGGGGTCTTTGGTCTTCTTGCTCTCAGGTTTTCAGGCTGCCTTATCCCATACCTTTTGATTTCCAAATACCATTGTATTTTTACTTCACCAGTCATTACTGGACTGGGATATTAAGGTGGTCTTCCATTCCCTCAAATTACCTCTATTTGAACCATTTGAAATATGCACTGTACAGCCATGATGACTAGTGCTTTATCTTCCATTGCTTTGCAATGCTTACTGTTGGGATGAGGTGTTCCACAAGACTGCTTGTAGGTGAATAACCTTGCTGTGTACTTGCTTCATAAACATGCCCATTCTGGACCGTATCACCCATGGACTGCATGAAAAAAGCAGAAATGGATAGCTGCCCATCCCTGCCATGTCTTATATTTAATAATTGGTATGGTCTGCTCTTCATCGCATTCTCACTCCCTTTCTTTTAATGGAGTATGGAAGTTCTTATCACTTTCCAGTTCCAAGCCACTGGGGGTAGTTTACCATGAAGGCACTCTCCTGAATGGGTTCTACACAAAGATGGCTATAACCATTCAGTGCAGAGTAGGGCAGTGGGGTTCTACTACACATTTCATGGATGGACGGAGAGCATACCTGGTTCAGAAGTGGTGCAGTTTCCCTCATCAGCTCTTCGGATCTGACTCTCTCATTTCCGTCGGACACTTTTGAGGGGTAGTTTTGTCATTCCTTTGCACCAGTCCTGCCTCCTAATGAATGTGGGATTCTAGTTATTCTTTTGAGTGGAGGGAAGTACTGTATCAGCAGCTATAATTTTCCTATACTGAAAGTGTATTTCCAGTATATACTTCCCTCCACTCGCCCTTCCTCCCCACTTTCCTCTGGTGCTTACGTCTTCTGCCAAACCATGAAGTGATAGTTTGGTAGAGGCATATAGAGAAAGTCACATGCGTTACGTGAGTATGCCACGCACCTATTGGTGGAGAAGAGATGCATGATGATTTATTTGAGAGACATATTGGAATCATTTGATTCTAATAGGGGGGGAGTTGAAGGCTTGTGGCATACATAAAGAAAAAATTTGCTTATAGAAGGCAGCATTGGACAAGGATAGCTAATCTTGTGAGAAGAGTGTAGTACCTAGCAGAAATATATTTTCAGTATAGGAAAATTATTATAGGGCTAATATTGAAACAAATTTGCAAGAATATATGCATGCATATATATATATATAGGGGAGTATCAGTGTTTGTTTTGTTTATTTTAAAGAAGTTTGTTATTTTATGTGATGTGATTTTTTCTCTTTAATATGAAGAAAGCTGTGGTAAATAAAAAATGGAGTTTATATGAAAAAAAAGAAATGTATTGATGTTTACTATTGAGTTGGTTGTAGTTTGACATGTTAATTTGTGACAAACGAACACTCTGTTTTTGTGATTCTGGGACAGAATTATTTATAACACCAATCTGTATTGAAACTATTTAAAATAAAAATGAGAAAATACATGGTTATAGAAATACTTAGAAGTTTAGAATTGATCAATAATCCTAAACATTTTGCACTTTATTTCATTGTTGCAAAAATTACTTAATTAAGAGATGTTGATTCTAAGGAGTTTATTTGTATTTTATCTTTTAGTTTGGTTATTTAGTTCTGTCTGTTGGAGAATAATGCTTTCAGTATTAAAATAATATATTGGAGGTACACACTGAGATGTTTGTTAAAACTTTTTGATAGAGAACGTAGCAATAAAAAAACATTTTATTTGCAGTTTGAATAATACAGAAGTGTGTTAAACAATTTAACATTGAATGATTTTCAAAAAATACAAAAATAAAAATTAAATATACCAATCTTTTTTATTTTTCTTCCAGAATACATTCCCATGAGTCCTGGAAAGTATCTCCCATTGGAGCAGCTGCTTGCTGCTGCAGGGTCATCCCATTGTTCTAGTATTGACTCAGAGCAGCCTACAATAGACTCATCAACAGCAGACATATCAGGTGGTTATTTACTTATGGCACCAAAGAAAGAAACCTACCCCAAAAATTTAACATATACTTCTCCAGGAGTTGCAGAAGAAGGTTATTTGAAAATGGGATCTATGTCTTCTTCTCTTCCTAAACCAAGCAGCCAGAGTATGTACTTATGTTGTTTTTGACATTAAAAAAGAGTATTTTGATTTTAAGTAAATACATGATCAAAAAGAAAAAAAAAACTTAAAATGTTTGTGTCCAATAATGTATGACCACTGAGTCTAAATGATTGGTGGTTTCTGATAAGCACAAAGTTAATTATAATTTAGTGTTTTAAATGCTGTAATTATTTTGGGACTATATAGAAATTAATTGGTAAGATAAGTTTCTGATAAGCACAAAGTTAATTATAATTTTGTTTTTTAAATGCTGTAATTATTTTGGGACTATATAGAAATTAATTGGTAAGATAAGTTTCATTCTTAGTGTACTTTATCTTAGTACCTCTTAAGGTTTTATTGTATGTCATTAAAAACTTTTTCATTACTTGTCAGCATTGTTCAGATCAGTGTTTGATATTTAGTTACATTAGTTCTGAATATGTATACTACCATTTTTCTGGAAAAATTGCGTACTTTTAATTTCTAATTTCATTAACACTGAACATTTGAATATAAATATTCTACACATTTCAAATGTATCTTTATACAATTAAGTTATATTAAGATTAAAATACAGAAATAAGGTTCTTGTTTCTTTGCATTTACATTGTTTGGTCTTTCCAAAATAATAGTAATGGGACACTTTTTTGTCTATAATGTTGCATCTTAAAATTAATAATTTTCATAAGTACAAAAGTGTATCCTTTCCAAGTAGTCCATGTATATAAAATATAATTAACCCTCTTGATATGGGTAAAAGTGTACATCATGACTTTTTACAAAGTGGCATTCAAAATTTAATTAAACTATTTTTTAACAATGTATACAAATAAATGTGACATTGAAATGTACTTGATAAATCAAATTTGGATATTATATAAATCTTTAGTTTCCACTTGTCTGTGTAAAGTGACATTTATTTGTTCTGAGTTTAACATAAGTTACTTATTATATTATAGGTATTAATAAGGCAGAGGTTAATTTTTATAGCCTTCATTTTTCTTTGTTTATGGAGATAAAAACCAGAAAGTCAAACCCATTTCCCACACCCTTCTATCACATCTTCTCTTTCACAGATTGCCTGTAATTCTCTTTAGCATTTGCTATTACATGATTTATAACCAATGGAAGAACAAAGTTTTAATTTATTGAACGATGTACAATGCTACCTTGTTCTCAGTAGAGATGTTTAGTTATTTTGCTTGCAGATTCAAAGTTGTTAAAGCCAAGCTCAAATCAAACAGCTAAAGAAATATTTTTAAGGCACATATTCCAGCATAAGAAAGCCAGTTAATTTATAATTGTTATAGGCCATTGTTTACTTTGTGCATGTTATTATTTTATGTTCTTATGTGCATATTTCAAAAATAATACTTTTTTTGCTACTAGTATTACCATTACTGGGAACTACGGTTAAATTTCATTGATATGTCAACACCAAAAAAAAACAATACGCAAGTCCTAAATTTGTTTTTTATGAATATCTTTTATTTTTTGTTATAAAAGTAACTAAAATATAAAAATTAGAAACTTGTCAAGTTAGATAAGGCTATATCAGGTTACATAAAAATAATAATAACAATAAACAAATTTTAATGAAGTATGCTTGTACATTATGTCATTCAATACTATAACTTGATCTACGCATTTGCCTTGTGATTTGCAGCTTGTATTACCAGGTTATTAGTAGACACAGTTCATAGAGCAGTAAAAATAAATACAAACAGATATAAACTGCTACAAGCCTTCTTAAACTGTTTATGATAAATACTTTTTACAATCTGCAGTTATTTTATAAAGAAGATGAGTAATTTAGCTTTTTTGTATTTTTTTGTGGTGCTTACAAGGTCAATCAAATTGACAAATGTTCTTTAGTGTTAGGGTAGAGAAAATAACAGATACAATATAAATTCTTACTGCAAAAAAAAATTTGATATACATTTAAAAGGTTTTAGAAATTATGCAAAGTAAATTTAAAAAATGTAAAATAAAATTACTTTTAATCTTAACATGAAAAACACTTTGCACTCAGACTAGTCTTAGTCGCAACCTTACTCCATATATTCACAGACAAATATTTAGTACAAATACATAATTTAAATATCGGATTTTTTTTATGTACAAAGGAATGGTAATGTTTACTAAAAGCTTACCAGATTTCATAAAAATACACTTACTATACTAAAAGTTATAGTACATATACTTTCATGGTTATAGTTATATGCTGGTTGCAAGATTAGTCAAAATGACCAAGCCCCTATAAAGATAGTTAATGCGCTATGTTATCATTTATGATCTTACCTATAATTTGCAGGAAATTTCCAGTGGAACTGACCTTGATATCATTTCCATTTTGAAGTTGGTTGTTTTAAGTTGTATGCATGTCTTAGAGAAGCTGTCCTTCATCTAATTTAAACTTAACTTAGTGATACTTAGTGAATATGTAAGCATGTCTCAGAGAAGCTGACCTTTACATGATTTAAACTAAACTTCATACAGGTCAATTACTTTGGTAAGCATGTCTTAGTGTCAGTGATCTTGATTTAATTTAAATTGAGTTTGATATTATTCAGTGAGTGTGTAAGTCTGTTGTGTCTTCTTTTCATAAGGTGAGGGCTACATAGAAATGGCTAGTCCTAAAAAAAATACTCAGAGTTTACAAGATGTCACTTTCCAGACCATTCCAACCTTTACAGAACAGTCAGGGTTTCATCTGGATAAGGTAAGTACTTTACTGATTTGTTTGAATTGTTAGAATAATTATACTAGCACTGTCACAAGTAATTGCATTGGATTACCTAATCAGTAATCACTACATTTTTGATCTGAATGCAAAATGTTCAGTTACTATCAGTTTGCACTTCTGTTCATGTAACATTCTTCTTTACTCTTCTTTTCAATTAAAATTAATTGAAGTAATTTAGGAGGAGTGAACATACAGTTTCAATCATAGCAATGTAGCTTAGACTTGAATATTCAAAGTTAACCATTGTTAAGTACACACTCAAACTTTTTAAATTCACTAGTCCAAAGCATTCTTTCTGATTCTGCTGATCCAGTAATTCAAAAGTCACTGGTTTGCACTGCTTGACCATGACTTTGTAACATATGTTTTTGGAACTTGCAACATGTAGTTAGGTTTTTCTTTAATTGAATGAAGAAACATTTGGTAGTTGGCCCTCTGTATTCCTGTTGGCAAACAGGATAACCATATTTGTATATTACTCCTCTTTGCTTTAAAACTGGACGAGAGATGTTGGATATGAAGATATTTTCTAACCTCAATGTAGGCTTCACAAAACTATTTTGAGGATATACACTGAGTGGTCACAAGTAAATAGACACCTCATTTTCAGAAAAAATGAAATTTTTCAGTCATATTCACATG